TAATCGTGTCATTAGGGGATTTTTACGGGCGAATAAGACGATAACGTATTGTTAAATTGTCAGTGACGTCAATTAACGAGGGTCAGTCATGTCGATTAAACAACGAGCACTTTACCACGACAATGCTCAATGACTAACGAATAAATGTTTGACGAGGGATTTTCTGTAGACTCAGACATCCAAACATCAACCACCAATTCACCGAGTGGAATAGGTTGGGGTTGGATTCGTCAGTCCTGTTGCAATGTTCGTCGGTGAGATAGTGCATTTGTACATTAGCAGTCACTGAGGATGAATTAAAATCGTAGGGCAGGTGGAAAAATCAGGGAGAATAGAAACGAAAGGAAAAGATAGAAATTGAAGAATGCCACTTGAGGCCGTCGCCCTGACGACGAACGTCGACACGAGAGGACGATGCTCTTTTGACCTTATCAGTGGTGGAGTACTTGGTAACGGGAGAGTATAATAGACGCACCGAAGAATTCGCTAAAAAAAGGGAGGAAAAAATTGGCCACGATGAGGAAAAAGTTGCTGTGGGGGTGTGATCTAGAGGAAGATGGTGCATCTCTCCTAGATCTATTGGAATGAGCCACGAGTAATTTGACTCTACGTTCAATTGGCTCTGATTCTCGGTATTACGCAAAACCTTCACTTGATGGATAACGAGACTTGTCGAGTGTAATAGAAACTATTTCAATGCACTGGGAATAAAAATTGATTTGTAAAAAAAATTTTGAGGCTTGACAACGGCAATCAATCAATTTCAGTAACCTTAGCTTTAATTTTTATCGCTGAGTGTATGAAAATTTTTATTGAAATTAATCGATTAGGTTAAATGAAGTAAAGTTTCGATGTTTTACAAGTGCTCAAAGCCGCCGAGTACGTGCGTCATAGAATGCAAACGAACGTGTCTTAATGCTAGAATATACCCGCTGAATAATAAATACACAATATTTTCGCCAACAATAAAATAGAATATGTGCTTGGCAATATTAGTCAAGGATATTCCTCCCCTTTCTGTTCCCCCATATTTATCGCCTCGTAAAGAGAGCCTACGATTTCCTTGACATTTTTTTTTCTTTCCTTTACATGAATATATATCAGAACGTGAAATGGAAAAATTCAAGGGACAGATTTCCAGAAGGCGTTGAGTGGGACTGACGAGGGACCATGAAATTTTTGACAACGAGGTGACAGAAAATTTCTGCAGAATTCTTTCACTGATAAAATTAATTACTCGTTAATTAATTGACTGTGTTAAATTGACTTGACATACGTAATTAATTTTCTCCATGTACAATCAAATGAAAAATTAACGAGATTTGACGTATTTTCATGATGAGTCTGAAAATTTGATCATGATTCATTGAAAATAGAAACGAATAAAATTTAATAAACGTTTTCAATTGAAGGGGAATTCATGTGATTAATATGGAAATTTAGGTGACACTACAACTGTAATTTCAAGAAATTTTTGACCATATGGGTGGAGGAGGGAATTGGGTGATAAGAGGTGGAGATGAGGGGAAGTCGTGGCTCTCGAAGAAGCTGATCACGTCCGCGGGTGAGACTGGGGTCCAGATGGGTCTCCCATCCTGAGAGAAACAATCGGCGGCTGCCACCTAATGCCCACCTGTTGCAAGTGCGACTTGCATCCACAGTCCACACCCTTCTCTTCACAATCTGTGTGTTGGTATTACTGGCCTCCAATATATTGTCAAATCCTCATCTCACAGCTATTTTCCATTTATATCTCCACTTTCAATCCCACCAACAGCTATTGCCATTCCGATCATTCAAAAATTCCACGAAACATCAGTGAAATTTTTTGGAAATTTTCATCGAAAAGTCACATGGAAAAATTTCATCTTCGAGAATCTTCGGACAAATATCTAAATATCTAATTTTTCCTTGTATTAGAAAATATATAAAACGTATGTTTTGTATGGAGTATATAGGCATGCTATATGTTTTTTTTACAATGATAATTTTTTATCCCTTCAAAATCGAATTTCCCAGAGATAGAAAAAGCATTAAAAAAATATGAAAGATGCAAAAATGAAATTGACATTGTTCTAAAATTAAATTTTTCCATCATCCAATGATTGATTTGTCATGGATTTTCTTTATAGAGGATAATAAAATTCCTACAAACATACAAACACAAGAACAAAAAAATTTTTTTTTTCGCCCTGTTGTCCGGGGTTGATCTACAATGTTTGAGGGAGAAAGTGACATTTTTCCAGAAGATCAACAAATCAATACATCAATTTTTCCATGTGTTAAAATATGAAACTCGTGAAACGGCTGAATAAGCAAAGAGTATTGAGATAATAAAATGTAAATAAAGAAAAGAAAGTAGTTGAAAGGCCAAAGTGGGTCAAACGTGTAGGTAGAAAGACAAAGGAAGAAGCAAAAGAGTATTTCACTTCCTCTATATGTCCATTTCTAATGTGACACGTTTCAATTTATTTATTGGTGTGTATTAAGCTCGTCCTCGACAGGCGCCACGCGACTAGTCGATAATCAACAAGAAAGAAAGATCGATTGGTTACCGCCCGGAGACATCAGATGCACTGCTATTGACCCATTCGTCCAACGATAAAAATAGCATTTGCATACACAAATTGAGAATAATGGTCTCCATTCGGAATAGAGTTATTTTTTTCATTTGAATAGTCAATGGTATTCGAGGGACATTTCATAGTGAATTAATTGAAAAGATCTATTCTACTTCCATTATCTAGGGAAAACTCGGATGAAAGAAAATTCATTGGACGAAATAACTATTTTTTTTTCCCCGACATTAAAGGGGCAAAGGCAGTGCGAGTGATTTTAATCTGTACAATTTTTCATTTATATTCGCTATGAATATGGAAAATATATAGGTTAACCATATTTTTTATTCAATTCAAAGAAACGCTATTTCTGCTCCTTCCATCTCTCTTTATCCACATGAAAAGATCTTCTAAAATTGCCTCGTTGCATGAATACACCCCTGAAGCATTATTGACCCGTCTGATGAGGGATTGTCTGTGAAGAGCTGGGACAAGACTTTTGCCATCGGGAAAATAATGAAAAGAGTGGTGGCCAGGAGGTGGAGGTGGAGGTGGAGGTGGAGGAGGTGGAGGAGGTGAGGGAGGAGAAGGAGGTGGTGGTAGTGGTGGTGGTGGTGACTGTAGCGGTAGCGGTAGCTGTGGCGGTGGCGGTGGCGGTGGCGGTGACGCGTGCACAACACAGAAAGAGACTTTCACACTCGGCAACACCGCCATGTATCGACCAGAGACTACCAACCTCTCACTCAAAAAATCCATTACGCACGTGTTTCGTATACTATTTTATGTCATTGGCCCCGTAATCCGCAATTCTACCTAGTGAATCGCGAACATTATTTTAACACTATTCTAAGACCCTATTTTTCCTCTCTTTTTCTTCAAAATTCCATCATCACTCAACGATAACATTCCAAAATTTGCCCCCCAATTCAATTTTTAGTTCCTACTTGTGAAATCTTTTCGGAATTCCCGGCAATTTTCTCGTGAATTTCCTGCGAATATCCCAAAAATTCGGACATAGAGAAGATTATTTTACCTTTAAAATTCAAAAGGATTTGAGACAATTTAAAAGGCATTATCGATTTCCAAATTTGATGGAACACCAGTCACATGAAATCATTACAAAATATTGATATTCTCTCTGCCGAACTTGTCGGATTTATCCGGCACGTCGAAATCAACTGAAAATTGACGAGTTAATTTAAAATTCAAATTCCAACATGAACTGGTCGTAAAAGATTCCGAGAAAAAGTCCTTGGAAATTTTTCAGCGCGACTTATCCGACGCAAAAACGAAGCGACTAAGTAAAAGATTGCAAAAATTCTTCGTCATTGATAAAATTGGTGTTCCGGGTTTGCGAAAGGCACGTATGCCACCCGCTGGTGAATTTCTCGCAACTTCGATCCATCCCGATTGGGAGTGACGGCTTGGCCCGGGCTCGTGTGAAATTCCCATTGGTAAACTCCACCCCACACCCCTCTCCCCCACCGACCCACCACCCCGCAAAACGCAAATGGTCCTCTCCACCCTCTGCATCATCCCCCTTTCGCTTTCTACGTCGCGACACCCCTCCCTTTCATGATTTTCAATCTATTGTACACCCCGAGGATGCCCGGGGGTGAAAAAGGGTTAGCTTCAATGAAATGTAAAAAGAATAAAATATCAAGGGGTCGAGTCCAACATACGCAGCATTAAATCCACCGAGTAACACTTTTAATTTCACCGAACTACAATACCACGCATAGCACTCGAAGCTTCAGTGTGTGTAACATCAATATTTACTGTTCACTCTGACCAAAAGGGAATAATAGAGAATTCGAGGACACGGATAAGGAATCCAAGAGTGGAAAAAAAACCTATCAATTTGATCAACAAATAATTGGGAGGATGAAACGGGGGTGAGGTGAATCGAATACGATTCAACCCATTCCAATTCCATTTTCAAGCCCTTGAAAATCCCCTCGAAATGAGATAACAATTTTGAAAATCCACTCAGCGAATTACAAATTATCAACGATACTAAACGTTCCGTTTCACCATGGGTCAGAGGGAAGTGATAAAAGTAAGAAAATATCATATCAACAGACCTCGAGATTTTTATAACGATTTGGAAATCATCGTCCTCAGATTCACTCATAACGTGTCACTATTATACAAATAAATCATCATTCAATTGACGAGCACTCACTTTGAGATGAAATTTTTCAATAAACGTTAACACCCTGAAATTACACGTGATTGAGATTTTCTTCCTCCCTCCCACTATCAGTCAATTTGAATCGTAAACGTTCGAGGGTACAAAGTCGACTCTTTTGTCGTCGATGGTTGGCAATGACAAGAATGTTGTACCAAAAGCCACGTCAAACTTGGTAGGATTGGGTAGGGATAAGTGAATACTTGAGAAACGAAAGGAGAAACACAAAATGGGAAAAAGATAAACACACAGTACACGATGTGTTGTCAAGTAATTTGATGGATTCCGTTGACTGGTGTGACAATAAACGTGCAATTGTGTGAGTTTTATTGTTCTTTCAAGGGGGGGTAGAGTAACACCCAACGCTTTTCCGCGTATGATAATCGCGTATATGAGTTTCGAGATACTGAACACAGTGCGCAGTCTGCCTTTGAAAAACTTGGCCTCAAGTATGTGTTATCGACGTATTTTTATTGAGGAAATAGTTAGGGTCCACTGTAAGTTGTAGGTTTTCTCAATATTCCAGGATTCTCTTCTTTAGACAGTACATATTTGGGAGGTGTCCCATCTGCATAGTTTTTTGATTTGACATATTTCAATATTGATATGAAATCTTGAAATGCACTAATTTCACTGCGAAGTGGTGAAGGCAGATAATTCCAATATTATTTTTAGTGTGGTTGAAAATTATTGATTTCAGAAGAAAATGTTAGAAGCACTAGGAATAGTATGAGGTAATAATCTGAGATGGACTGAAAAACGCCCGGAAATTTGACATCTGATGGCTGTTAAATCAGAAGATCAGAAGATGGGCTAGAGTTTTTAGACAGGTATGTACCGCCCCCACCTCACGACACCGAGCTACCGGATTCGTCTATACACGTAAGTGCATGATCCACAATTTCTATTTTGAATTACGCTAATTCTATGCTACTCACAGGTTTACAACTTCCAAAAAAGTCTATATGAAAATTTCGTTATTTACCATCACCTAAGAGATACCTAATGAAAACTAATTTGATACATTATCTTAACGTTGCTACATTATTCATCTGCAAATTAAGTTGTGACAAGAATCCAAATTCATCTGATGGTATTCTTCAAAAATGGTCTATACTTCTTTTCTGTCATTTGCTAACTGATGACCGTTGACCCCGATCTCCATTCCTACCGAAGATTTCTGATCTATACTCACAGTAAAAAATCCAGAAATATCTATTGCCCCGTGCTCCTCTCGACATATTTTCAGAGTTTTGTATACTGGTCATTAAGACAAAAAAAAACCAAAAAAAAATGAAATTGAGTGGTTCATGGATATTCAGGGAAATACATTCACGCAAAAGGTGTAATATAACATTTAATAGATACATGCATGTCAAAATAGAAAATACTAGTATTTTATACTACGCGAGCTACGAGTGTACAAAATTTCAACTCGCTATCTCTATTTGCTTTTAATTATCGTGTTCACAACGTTTACGATGATTAAACCTAACGACGGTGATATTACGAAATTTCATTCGAACAAATGTAGATATTTCGATTGGTATAGCTGGACCCACTGAGACAAGTATGTGCAAAAAAAAATTTAAATCCTTGCAGTAGTTTTTGAAATATTGAGGAAAATAAAAATTTACAAAAGTTGCTATATCTCAGGAACTACTGGACCGATCGAGCTGAAACGACGCATCAAAGTAAAGGCTAATGATGCTATTAATTAATGTATTTCCGTAGAATTTTTTTAAAATTAATTTTCAAAATTTCGAATCTTCCTGCATATACACACACACATGATCTAAAAATATAATTTTTCTAGATATCTTGGAATTGAAATGAGATTATCGAATAATCGATCGAATATAAGGCTTCCATTCGGAAGCAAAAATAGGCGGCCAAAAAGTTGCTTTTGCGAAAGCTTTAGACTGTAAAGTTTAGAGTGGAGATTGGGATAGCATAAGTAAGATACGAGACGGTGTGTGAATCACACACACGTGGAGCTATGGGCGATGTGCCAATTATATACACAGTACCGTAGCTTTGGGTACGAATATCTCGAAAACTATTGAGAATTTATCGAGACAATTCTAACATCGTATCATTCAGAATTCCATAACGAATTATATGATCGTTGAATGATCTCTATAAGTTGATTAGTTCTCTAGAAATTGATGCTAGCTTGTCGGAGTACGCAGCATCATCGTACAACGCAGTGTGTATCTCCATCTCACGCAAGAGTTCGTGTGTGTTGCGTTGGTTCCTGCCAGAGCAACAGAGACGAACCTGGACGTGAGACAGAGACGCACTGAGTTCGCAGGGTATCTCGAAATTGGAATTTTGAATTTTTAACATCCGGACAGAAAGTTATTGGTTTCATCGTGAAGATAAAAAATCGTCATTTTTCAAACTTCAAACCATTCTACTTTTAACTTGCGTCACTTAAAATAAGGGGCGAAATAATCTCCAAAAACAAACACTACCATTTTTGTAGAAAAACCTACGACAAGTACGTACCTTTAAAGTGACTATTTTGTCTTTCAAAAAAGCAATGAAATAAAGAGAATGCTAGAACTCCTTATAAATCTGTAATGTACTAGGTGATGTATTGAATCTTGAATTTGGCAAGGTTGAAGACAGAAATCCGTGAGTTGAAAACCAAAAGATGAATGAAAACGGAACAAAACATAGAACAACAGGAAAATTCAACTATCCAAGAAAAAACCCGTGCTTGAATTTTTGTGAACGACCTGGAGCTGTCGAATATATCAAGGACGGTTTTTTCTATTTTGCAGTTTTTTTTTTTAGAAAAACGGTAGTTTTTGTTGTTGAGAACTTGATATTTACACTGATTGTTAAATGTCACTTCTCTCCGATAAACACGTTGACTAACTGAATTGATAATTGACTGTATAATTAACTGATACTAACTGATGAGGAAACCATAAATTCAACCGAAAATCACTGATCTTGGATTATTGACGAGTGATCTTGATAAAATACTAAATCTATCCGCTTACTAGGACCTCTGAAAGACAACTAACGATGCTATCCTTCCAGTTGGACATCCGAGACAACTCTACTTCTTTTCTGTCATTTGCTAACTGATGACCGTTGACCCCGATCTCCATTCCTACCGAAGATTTCTGATCTATACTCACAGTAAAAAATCCAG